GTAGACTTTTGCCTGTGATGAAGCACTTAGTGCCCCGCCATACATGTCACCCCATGCGCTCTTCTAATCAGTTTCAAAATCAACAAGAGGAATAGATTTACCAAGGAGAGCAAAAACACACACTCTTCTTAGAAAAATATGCACTGTAAACTAGAGCAGTTTCTTGCACAGAGCACACAGCAATACACAGAGGGGTAATAAGTTGCTCCAGAAAGATGAAAAAGAAGGTGCTTGGGCTGGGAATGGGATAGTCACACACTTACACATGCACACAAATGTGTATCTGTGTGTGTGTGTTGTATGTACACTCATAGGTATAATTAAACACAGTTTCTTTATCCCAGTCAATCTTCAAAAACATCCTATGAAGAAGGAAATCCTAAGGGATAGCTGAAAGAATAGATAAACTTATTGATGCTGCTGTGCGTTCTGACTTTAGCCCTTGAGTCACCATAGGTTCTTGTGCCACAAAACTATAAAAAAGGAATTTGCAGACATTATAGATGAGGAATCAGAAACAAACCTTAAGAAAGTAAGGACAAGGTTATTTGAAGGAAGAAAGCAAGAACTTCCCTGTATGCTGTACTTGGGAGGGGCAAGGAAGGCCTGTCTAGGGATAATTAAACCTCCCTCCATCCCCCCCCCCATTCTAAAATCTCATCGTCCTGTTTTGTGATTGGCTCTTCCTCCTAGTGGCTATACTCCTCTGGGCAGAGGTGCCCATTTTCCCAGCTCCTATCTTAGTAGTTTACCTCCCTGTCCAAGGTCTCCTAAAATTTACTTTTACTGCTGGCACTGGCCCTCCTGAATTTTTCTGCCCTCATCTCATGGGCCTCCCTTAAGTCTCCCAAGTCCCTGCTTGCACCCTGCCTGAAGCTGCATACTTAACCCTAACTTGCCCTGGGACTCAGTAGGAGTCAGTGCTCAGCCTCCCATGGCTAATGAGTGGAAGAGGCAGTATTGGAACTGACTCTGTATTTCTCCACCACAAGCGCCTTCTCTTGAGTATGTCCCCAAAGAAAAGGTAGGAGCCATTTTCCCTAGGATGTTGGGTGGGGAGGGAGAAGCCCAAAGATGCTGATCTGTTGAAGAAGCTGGGCACACCAGCTATGTGTGTGTGTTGTGTGCCAGGAGGTAGAGGTGTATGCTCAAGTCTAGTTACCTATCAACAGGCACGGGCATTCATTGTAATGGCTAGAGCCAGGGTGAGCTCTTTCATGACCAGGCTGCTCTTGCAGGTGAAATGATGTTGAGAGGGAACACACTGGACAGTTAAAAACCTAAACTTTGAAATCAGACAGAATTTCACTATCAGGGTGATAATGCCTCTTACTAGTCCTTTTTAAATTAGCTTTAATAGGATGCAGTTTCTTATGAGAAATAGCAATACTGAGGCTGAACTGATAGAAATGTGTAGGAATTAAATAATAAAATTCTGTGATTTTTCATTTCCTAGAACATGAGCACTGATTCCGATTAGTATCTGCTAATTTTCTCTCTGGGTTGAAATCATGGATATTAAGAATGAATATTAATATACTTTAAAAATTACTACTTTTACTTTTCTTTGAAATAGAATATATAATTTTCTGTTTTTTTAAGATTTACTTTTATTTATTTATGCATACAAGAACTGCGGTGGAGGCCAGAGGCAAGAACGGGAAGGAGCAAACTCTAAACCAGTGGATGATGTTCTGAATGGATTCCACCACGTTGTTCATACTGAAGATAGAGAGCATGTAGCTGTAGATCTGTTGCCCCCTCCCCCCAAAAGTTAGACAGGATTTCCTAGATATCCAGAGTAGCCATTTCAATACCTGTCACCTTGGTATATGGAATGAAGATCTGTCAAGATCGTGTGAGAACCACTTTCATGAGAGACTGTTATCATTACTTGAAGATTTAAGTTTTCCTAGGTATAGTGATCTCTGCAGAAATATTTTTTTTAACTAGGAGAAATATCTTAAGGAAGGGCAAACAATCAAAGGTAATGTTCTGTCATATGAAGTCATTTCCTCATCATGTGAAACCCTCTCCCTGGTGACTCTCCCTGGTGACTCAAGTCCCTTATAATAGGATATAAGCCCTTGCTGTCTTCCATTTACTTTAGAATTTACTGCTGTATAATTCACTCTACACATCCTATTCAATTTGGTGTTTTTCTCATACTAATTTGTCTGTTGTTCATTTATGCATCTAGTCTCAGAAAAACTCACGGTGGTGAGGGAACTTTCCCCTGTACCCAGATAGCTGTTGAAGGAGAGATATTAATAGATGTATTTTTTATGTACTTTATGTGACTGAACTGGAGGGAATTGGTAGCTGAGAGAGTGTGACAAGTATTCCTCTTCTCGTTGTGAGTCCCTGAACTACTACATGTCCTTGGTTAATATCATGGGACTCTCGTGTGAGATATTAGATTTAGCTGAGAGTTTTAGCTCCTGTCAAGTGATTTCTGGAAACCTGGGTGAGGAGGAAACCTGAATTCACAATTCACACAATTTTTCAACATGAGTTTTAACACATGGCTCAGTGCCACCCACTGCAGCATGAGTTTGAACCTCAGCAAGGGAGCTAACACACATGAGCCCAGCAGACCTCTCTGGTCTTGCCCGCTGTTCCCCTCAGCAGTGTATTTGAGTTGATCCCCCTGTCCTGCTCCTCAGGCTGTCTCTGGTGAATCCTCTCACCCATACCTCTGGTGTACACCCCAGTTCTTATATGCATAATGTATGATGTGCAAATGTTTTCTCCATTCAAGTAGATATCTTTTTTGTTTTTTGTTTTTTTTTAATAGAGGCATGTTCTATTTATTTATTTATTTGTTTGTTTGTTTGTTTTGTATTTATACATGCACTGGGTACAATCAGAAGCACGGGAGGGTGAGAGAATCCACCAGAGCCAGAGCGGGGAGCAGAGCAGGCAGAAGGACCGAAGTACACTGCTGAGGGGAGCAGCGGGCGGCAGGAGAGGTCTGCGCGCCATGTGGGACCCTCCTCCAGTGGCCGGGGAGCAGCCGGGGATCGAACCAGCCCCGCAGAGGCCGTGGGCAGCTTCGCAACCCAGCGCTCAACCACTGTGCCACCGGGGAGGCCCAGATGTCTTTTTGTTTTAATGATAGATTCTTTCACTGTGCAGAAGACTTTTTTGATACATGTAGTCCCATTTATTTATATTCTGTTTCATGTCTACATTATTGGAGACAATTACACAAAGACATCCCTAAGCGAGTGGCTTGGAGGGTTTTGTTTGTTTTCCTCTATGTATTTTGTGGTTTCAAAGATTGCCATCCAAGTCCTTAATTCATTTTGAGTTATCTTTTGTGTAAGGGGTGACATAGTTCTCTAGTTTCCTTCTTTTGCATGTGGCAGTTTACTTTTCCCCAAATAAGTTGTTGAAAAGACTTTCCTCTCTCTGCTGTTTATTCTTGACTCCTCTGTGCTGGATAAATTGTCCATACAAGTGTTGGTTCATTTCTGGAGTCTTGATCCTATTCCATTGTTGCTGGAACAACTTACTTGCAGGTCAGGGAGGATGAGAAAAATCTCACTGGCCAATAGATTGCTTTAACTCTTCACTTTTAGGAAGGTTAAACCGTTACTTTAGTAGACAGTAATGCAGAACGATTTTGTCACATAGCCTACTTTCCATGCAGTGAAGCCAACTGTTTCTAGCTGGCTGAACTGGGATAGATGCGTTTACACAACTGCTTGTGCTTGAGCCATTGCAAGCAGCTTCAGATGGGCAGTGCACTTGGCAGGCGTCTCCTTTTCCTGCCTGACAGAGGTGCTCAGTACCATGTGCTTCTCTATCCAGTGTATCATGTGCACCTTTTCCTTCCACCACATCGTGTTCTGCACAGAGATATAATAGTCCAGGTGATTCTTTACATTCTTGTATGATCCTTGTAGTTGTTCCTGGTAAACACCTTCCAGGCAATAGTGGTGTTATTCCTCTGGACATCAAAAAGCAATGACGCTATTAACCAGCACCTGCTGTAAATTCTCTAGCTCAACTGCATGGTGATGTGCCTAAAGAAACCTTTCATTTCTTCTCTTTAGGCAAGTTTTTTGTTCAATGAATTTCTGAGAAAATTCTCTAAAAGAGGTACACTTTTTTTAACTAGATAGACAAACAACCTTCTTGTTGATACCACAGAGAAAGTTTCTGAAATAATCACATATGTTTCCTTGGATAGAAAATACAGTATCAGTCTTTTTTTTTTTTTAATATAGATGCATGTTTTATTTATTTATTTGTTTGTTTGTTTGTTTATACATGCACTGGGTACAGTCAGAAGCGCAGGAGGGTGAGAAAATCCACCAGAGCCAGAGCTGGGAGCAGAGCAGGCAGAAGGACCGAAGAACACTGCTGAGGGGAGCAGCGGGCGGCAGGAGAGGTCTGCGCGCCATGTGGGACCCTCCTCTGGTGGCCGGGGAGCAGCCGGGGATCGAACCGGCGCTGCAGAGGCTGCGGGCAGCTTCACAACCCAGCGCTCAACCACTGCGCCACCGGGGAGGCCCCAGTATCAGTCTTGCTCCAAGAAAAGGGAAGCCTGTTATACTGACTGGCTTTAGAATAAAGGAACTGGAAGAATAAGGACTAGCATTTTAAAGCTTCCATTCTTTGGAATATGTACGTATGGATTATGACGTATCACACAGGTGGGGATAAACCTACCTGCTCTCAATATTTCTGCCATCTGCCACACCAAGAAAAAACATAAGACCGTCAATGGAAAAGAACTTCAGTACAATTAGTGTGCAATACAGAGAAGACAAAGAATATAGTTTCCAAATCAAGCACCTAAAGTTACCCATCCCCTCATGGGAAAAAGTGCAGCCAAACAGGATTGGCCAAAGCAAGGCCCAAAAGCCTGCCACAAGTCCACAACACCTTTAGGCGGGACCCATAGACAAGGGTCAGAAACTGACCAGACAAGTCTGGGAGGAAAAGAGAAAAATCATAATCGAGATAAAAGCTGCTATTGTCACCTTCCCTTGGGTCTCTCACCCACATCCTTTCAGCCAGTCCAGGATGAAAAAGCAAGTGCAGCTTCTTCGCATGTCTCCAGGCTCCATGTGCCTCCTGCAGGCCTCCTCCCTCTACATCCTGCTTCCTTCCTGTGACAGTCTCCTGCTGCAGGGGCAGGATGCACCACTGAGCAGGTTTCCTATGAGCCCAGCAGACCCGGTAAAGGAGGAGTCCAGGAGCCCTCTGTGGATTTCTCAGGCTTTTCTTAAGCTTTACATGTAGTGTGGCAAACAGGTACTCGGCAAGCAGGGGTGTCAGGAGGCCAGGAGGAGTCCAAGACCCTGGCAGGTGCTCACTCTGGGCTTCTCTCTCTCTTCTGGCTTTCTTTTTTCTCTTTATTTTGGGGGGGGGGGTGGGGAGGGCAGGCAAATCACATTTTATTAAAGATAACTTTAGAAATCTTTGACAATGTTATGTTTTGCTATGAAGTTGAAAATAAAAAAGCATGTGTGTTCAAAATCCCAATGACATTTTTCAAGGAAATGGAACAATTATAAATTTTTATCTTTAGATCAGCCAGTTTGTTCTTCAGCTCTCTGTTGGGATTATTATTTTTTTTTTGTATGAGTTTTTTGTATTTTTTTTTTTTTTTACTGTTTTATTTCTTCTGGCTTTCTTTCTCCCCTTCTCTCTCCTGCCTCTGCTTCTCTTGGTGACTGTCTCAATACTCCTCCCATGGCCCACAGAGGTAAACAGGACAGCTTGCAACAATGTAACAATCGCAGGTGCCCCATCAGACAGGGCAATCCTAATGGTGGGAGGGCAGAAAAGCCTGAAAACCATATACCCTCCACCTTTCCAGCTGCTTCACCTCCCTGCTCAGTCCACCCTCCCTGGATGGAGCAGGAAATCTAGTTGGTGCCTCCCCTTTTCCTGGGGAGCCCTGTTAGAGTTTCAGTTTCATTTCACTCCATTTCACTCTGTGGCAGTCAGGCCCAGTGCATCCTGACCATATCTGTATCTGACCTGTCTTCACTCTTCCCCAAGGAGTCACAACATTTCCTTGGTCTCTGAAGGTCTGTTGAGAGTTTCTGGAACAAAGAGTTTGAAAACTTCAGAGGAAAAACTGCTTTGGTGAGTCTGACTTTTCATGGGAAGGCCAAGATGCCTCTGAAAGGGGGCAAAGGCCCAGCTTGCAGGCTGCCTGCTGATTGCCTTAACTGAAGGGCAACTGGGGGACAGAGTGGCCGAAAAGATGGCGGGTTTGAAGGAGGAAGGCTTTGTTTACTTCAGAGGGACTGGCATTTCTCCAGGCCGAATCTACCCACAACTCCTTCCTGTTCTATTATTTTGAATTGCATCTTTTGCGGACAGAGAGAATCCTTGACTTTTTAGAAGTAGAAAGCTCCTTTTCCACCCAATACAGGAACACAGGCAGAGGGGTTTGAATCCTAGGGGTCAATGTTACAGTGTACCAGTGTCATATTTCTTCACAATTCTATACATTTTCCTCACAAGGACTTTCTGCGATGGGGAAACTTGATGTGCGAAGGTTGGCAAGTTCTGCACCTCATTTCTGGTCACTGCTTCAGGCGCGGGTTGATCGCTGTAGTTCCTTAGAGATCACTAACCTTGTTCATCCGTCTACTTATGTCTGATGTCATTTTAATGAAAGAGATGTGGGATTAAGAGAGCGGTTCTTGGGTAACATCTGAGAAAAGTTTCAGTGGATCTCCCCATTCAACAGCTTTCGGGCAGTCTCCCCATGACACAAAGACATTTAGTTATATCCAAATGGGCCGGTTTATTATATAGGACTCTTGTGAGGTCAGTTTGGGAGATCTTGAATTCAAGAATGGGGTCCTTGGGTTGACGCTGGGAAGCTTCATCAGAGCTCCCCTTTGACGGCACTGGCGAGTTTCCCAGGTGAGTTTCTCCCCAAGACAAAAACGTCAGTTATATCCAAAATGGCAGGTTTATTATAAAAGGGAGAGAAGAATAAAGGACATTTGCTTATGATGGAGGACAGGAATAAAAAAAATAAAGTAAGAAGGAGGTGCCACAAGACCAGAAACCTGCTCACACAAGGTGGGGGTAGAAGGGATTAGCATTGCCATTGACACAGCTTTAGAAACCAAGAGCCTTAGGTGCCAAAGCCTGGTTTACAAAGTGTGAGACACAAGCAGGTTTCAGGCTACTGTAGGGAGTGTCCAGAGCAAAGGCCCAAGGGTAAAGATAGGCAGATTGAGCCCATTGTGCCATCTCCTGCCCCTTTCAAATTCTGTGGAGTTGTCCAAAATCAGCAAAATAGGGAAGCCTCCCAAGGACTGAGCCCCTCCCAAACAGAAGACTGAATCAGTGCAGTCTCTATACAGGCTCAGGGCCTCTGCCCACCTCTGATTATACAGGAGCTTCTTTTCACCAGCTCTCCCCTGCAGAGCAGCAGCCTCCTACCTGCCCAGGACCTGCACCATGCCTGGATTTCACTTTACTGACCTCCCTCAGCAGAGGCAGCTCTCCACAAGGCCACCAGCCTGAGACCATGCAGGCCTCTCTCTGCAAACCTGATTCTTTCGGGGCAGCTCTTCGTGCCGCTTGTGTCTGTACAAGTGTCCTTTATTCTTCTCACCCTTTCCCTAATAAACCTGCCCTTTAAATATAACCAATGTCTCAGTGCTGTGGAGAATCTCACCTGGGAAACCCTCTGGTGCTGCTGAAAAGGGAGCTCTGGTGAAGCCTTTCCCAGAGTGAACCCAGTGACCCCGCACTCCAAACCCACTGACTCCAGAAACGACATCACATAGACACAAGCGGGCAGAAAGGGCTGCCCAGAAAGGGACAGGTTTGCTGAGAGAAGCTGCCTAGTCACAGGCCCCAGCCTTGGGAGGAGCGGCCTCTGCTGCTTTGCAGCTTTGCAAGGGAGGTCAATGAGAGAATCCTGAAAAGACAGTAACTGGTTTCAAGCGAGGAACATACATATTGTGGTCACACTAGAAGAGGGCAGGCAGCAGCCACCCTGAGCCACACTCCCTAGCTGAGAGCATCAAGGATCCTGCTTTATGAGGCTCATCACCGCACCAGGCTAGTGGGGAGGTAGGGTATTGGCTGGCCTTGGATTTTCTAGCTTGGGTTTCAGGGCCTTTAAGCACCCACACATGCTTTATCTGGTCTCACATTAACACCCTCCTATGACAAGGGAAAGTGCATCCCAGCTGTTTAGGTTTTCAGCAACAGGAAGGTAACAAACAAGGACCAGGTTCCAGGGGCCCTGTAATGACATTGTTATGCAAATTGTATTTTACCCAGCACCAAGTGAAGGAGGAAGTAAGTTCCCTCGAGTAGGCTTTAGGGTCACGGGCCCAGCCTTGAGAGGGCTTTCTAAACCATGCCTGAAACAGGGACTTATATAAGCTGATGCACTTGTTGCAGAGAAGAGTTGGGGAGTGGGTCAGAGTCTGGGGGATGAAAGACTTCACCAGAGACAGACTAGAGAACGGAAAAGGAGAATTTATTGAAAACACAACTGAGAGGAGCAGGGGGCCAGATGAGATGGGCCTGAGGCTGTTTCTACTCCAGGCATGATTGGTTGGGTGACTAGTCTTGGGTGTGCCCTGACTCTGCATCTGGATCCTCAATTTAACAGCCCAGTTCCCAGGGCCGCCCCACCCACAACCTTATCCAGTCAAGCCTTCCCAATTTGCCTGTTAAACGAGGAGGGGGGGCCTAGTTTTTAACTTTAATAATGACACCATACCATACAGCATATATCTTTGTGGGCCCAGGGTAATGCCATCTGCACATTCCATAAAACCAGATATTCAGCCAAGGGTGGCTGGCTCCCGGACTCCACAGATGACTGATTCAACTAGATAATAAATGTCTTCCTTTTCTGCCTAACTCTGGTCTTCAAGGTGATTCTTTCCTCATGTTGATGAGGATCAAGTTGCATGAGTCCAGGAACTGCACTTCCTTGATTCTTCCTTTTTTTTTTTTTAAAAAGATATGTTTATATATGCATACAAGCATTCTGGGCTACAGACCAGAGGTGAGGGGTGAGAGGATTCACCAAAGACAGACTGGGGAGCAGAACAGGAGGATCTCATGAAATACACTGCTGAGGGGGAGCAATGGGTGAGAGGAGCGAGGTCTGCACTATGTGGGTAGCTGCCTGGGCCGGTGATCAAACTCTGCTGCAGTGGCTGCTGATAGCTTCATAGTGCTGTGCTTAACCCCTTGCATCACAAGGGAGACCCTCCCCTTTTTTTAATCAAATATTTTATTTTATCTATGCTTGTTATCTATACAATTAGAATTGTTTCCTGGCTTTCTCATTTGTTCCAGTACAACCTTCTCAAATATACAGGGATCTGTGAACAGGAGACACAATCCAGGATAGCGAGCAGCAGGGGGCAACAGCTATGGCATCAAACATCTTAGTGAACATCCAGGAGGAGGTGACCTGCCCCATCTGCCTGGACCTCTTGAAAGAGCCCCTAAGCCTAGACTGTGGCCACAGCTTCTGCCGAGCCTGCATCACTGCAAACAACAAGGAGTCCGCGGCAACCCAGGAAGAGAAGAGCAGCTGCCCTGTGTGCAGAATCAGTTACAAGCCTGGGCACCTGCGGCCTAATCGGCATCTGGCCAACATAGTGGAGCAGCTCAGAGGAGTCAAGATAAGCCCAGAGGGGGAGCAGAAGAAAGAGCTCTGTGTGCGCCATGGAGAGAAACTCCTGCTCTTCTGTAAGCAGGATGGGCAAGTCATTTGCTGGCTTTGTGAGCGGTCTCAGGAGCACCGTGGTCACCAGACATGCCTCACTGAGGAGATTGTCCAGGAGAAGAAGGTAGGAGAGCCTCAGGATGCAATTAAAACAGCAGAATATATAGTTGATGGGAAATCTCCTCTTGTTTGCCTTGTCACCATAGTCAGAGGTCTGTGATCTCTTTTCTTCCTCTGGTGTTGATACAAGGGAAGATTCCCACACTGCTCTATGTTCTGGGGCTGGATGAGCAATGAGATTAACATCAGACAGCTTAGAAGGAGAAAAAGACCATATTTAATAACATACACATGGAGAATTTACAGGACTGTAAATACTGAAATAAAATGGGACAGATCCAGTGTTTATTTATTTTTAAAGATTTATTTATTTATGCATTCAAGAACTGGGGTACAGGCCAGAAGTGCAGGTGGTGAGAGGAGCGAGACAGAGTAGGGAACAGAACAGGCATATTGACTGAAATACACTGCTGAGGGGAGCAGCAGGCGAGACAGGAGAGGTCTGCTGTGCCATGTGGGTCACCTCCCTGGCAGGGGATTGAACTCATGCCACAGTAGCTGGGGATTGTTGTAGAGCAGCCCCGATACAAAACGGGGTGCCTGACTGTGGGTCCTCACCCGCGCGCTTAAAAGGACTTATCAATGCTCTACTGCAGGCACACGTGAAAGGTTAATAAAAGGTTTATTTACAAGGGAAGGGGAAATGAGGAAATGTACAGCTCTGGGAGAAAAGTGGGAGACAAAGTTTTAAATGCGTCCTACCCAGTCCGCCAATCAGGAATCCCAAAATGGCACTCTGAGAGCTGGCCGCCAGCCAGGAGCGGTGAAGCCAGGAGGCGAGCGATCGCGAGCCAGAGAGAGCCCAAGGCCCACATGTTTGGTTTTTATAGCCAACCTGGCTGCCCAACTCCACCCTCAGGTCCCAGCCACCCTCCCCTTGGTGGTGATGGGATTTGTCTTTCCCAATGTCCTGATGACTTTAGTCTGGAGTGGGGGTGGGGTCCACAAAGCCTGTATGGGATTAGCTCAGGACATCCTTTCCCCCTAACAGGATGACTTGATAGCCCTGAGAATTTAGCCCCTGTGCCACAAGGGAGGCCCAGATCCAGTATTTATGACTGGATGTATTTGGAGCCTGGGGTGTCAAGGAGGGAGGAGGGGGTCTCTGGGACCAAGAGGGGACAATTTCATATGATACAACCTTGCCTTTAGATATTTGCCTTGCCTTGAGATAGGTTTTTCCCATAAAAAGTTTTTTTCTAGAGGCCTCCCTGATGGCGTAGGGGTTACGTCTCAGCCCTATCATCACAATGGTCTGAGTTCTATCATGGGCCGGGGAGATGACCCACACATGGCACAGCAGACTTCTGTCTCGCCCACTGCTCCCCTCAGCAGTGTATTTCAGCCGATTCTCCTGTTCTGCTCCCCTCTGTTTCTGGTGAATGCTCTCACCCCCTTCACCTCTGGGCTACACCCCAGTTCTTCTGTGCATAAATAAATATATAAAATCTTTAAAAAATAATTTATTTCTAGCGATGTTGCTAAGTCTAGGTCATCTCTTTAAGATAACACTTCCTCATGAGACTCACAAAAATTTGATTTACCTTAGTTCTACCTAATAAGACGACACAAGTTGAAATTTTCCAGCTTGGAAAAAGCCTATCTAAACCTTTTGGGGGAAGAGAAACACTAGGCTCACCTCCCAAGGTGGTGGACATTTCTGTGCCTCCAGCCTGATTACAAGAGACTGATTTAGAGTCAGAAGTAGATGTTTCGAACCATGTGTTAAATGGGGGAGGGGGTGCTAGTGCCATGAAAATCCACCATTCCCTTTTCACATGAAGGGTAACTGAGGGACTGGGTAGATTGAGATGTTGTTTCTTTCCTGCAGGATCAAATTTCTCCTCTAGGACAAATAGAATCATCCTATCTGGGGAAGGAATGGTGACTTCGCTTAGACTTCTGCCTGAGACTTAATACGTTCACACTTCAGATTTTCTTCTAAGTCGTAGGTTCTCATTGATATTTTCAGTTTCTGTGACTCTTATGTTTAGAGATGATCTGATTACTTCCTCCATGACCTGTATTCAGATGTTGAGAAAGCCCATTGCTTGACCTTGGCTTGATTCCCCTCTCACAGGAGAAGCTCCAGGAAGCCCTGCAGCAGATGAGGGAAAAGCTGCAGGAATCTGGACATCTGGAAGCTGAAGTCAAAAAAAGTACAACTTCCTGGAAGGTAGTGTTATGGAGCAGCCCCGATATAAAATGGGTTGCCTGGCTGTGGGTCCTCACCTGTGCGCTTAAAAGGGACTTATTAATACTCCACTACGGGCACACACATAAGGTTAATAAAAGGTTTATTTACAAGGGAAAGGGAATTAAGGAAATGTACAACTCAGGCAGAAAATAGGGAAATAAAGTCTTTAATGCATCCTACTGGATCCACAGATCTGGAAACCCAAAGTCACTCTCAGAGCTGGCCGGATGGCTGCGAGCTGGTGGAGAGCCAAAATGGGGGACCCCCAAAGCCCACGTGTCTGCCTTTTATATCAACCTGGCTGCTTAACCCCACCTTCAGGTCCCAGCCACCTTCCCTTTGGTGGTGATGGGATTTGGAGTTCCCAGTGTCTTTGGCTTTGGCCTGGGGTGGGGGTGGAGTCCACAGAGCCTGTATGGAATTAGCTTTAGGACATCCTTTTTCCCCTAAAAGAAGGATGAGGCTCTTTCTGAGGGATTTAGGCAGAAATCTGATAGAATTTGAGTGATAACAGGAAGAACTTCCTACCTTTTTGTTATTGGATCATTAACAATCCCACAGTCATTTGATTATCCTTTTCTTCATCATTTCCCTGATGGTGGAGGGGATTGAAAAGTGAACCTGGCACAGGTGAATGGGTCTTTGGAGGGAAGGTTCATATGGAGGGAGATTGGCCAGGATAGCAGTGCAGACTCTGTTCCATTCCCATCATGTGTTTGAGTCTTTGACTCTCCTGAGGGAAGCCATTCAGCCATGGCTCTGGGCCAGTGTTCCATTTTGGCAGAGGGTTAGTGGTGCTGTCAGGAGTAGTCCAGCTGTGTGAACATGGAGACATACCCAGTTGCTCTGTTTGGCTCAGGGTTGGACTCAGTGCTGCAGACTTGAGGGAATTATTTTGGAATATAATAGAGGGGAAGTAGTATGTGAAGAGCCTCTTTAAGAATTGTTCTCTTGCTCTGTCTCACTTTGCTGTGAGAACTTTCCATTTACAGTGGTGCTAGTGCTGGTTCCTAGTCTCTGCCTGATGGGTTGAGTACCGCCTTTCTTTTCTCCCTAAGAGTCAAATACAAAGTGAGAGACAAGGTGTCCAGGCAGAGTTTGCAGAACTGAGAGGTCTCCTGGACTTGGCGGAGCAGAAGGAGCTACAAAACCTGAATAAGGAGGAAGAAGTCATTCTCCATAAACTGGCAGAGGATGAGAGTGAGCTCGTTCAGCAGAGCCAGTTGATAGACGTTCTCATCTCAGATCTGGAGCATCAATTGGAAGCGTCAGACATAGACATGCTGCAGGTAATGTTACAGGGCAGGGAGAGGGGCTGCCCAGACCCCGGGACCTGCCTGCTCTAAATAGGTTCTGCCATCCGCCGCATCAACACAAAACACATGAGACCAATGAAAAGGAACTTTAATACAATTAGTAAACAATACAGGAAAGACAGAGAATATAGTTTTCAAGTCAAGCACCCACAGTTACCCATCCCCTTGTGGGTAAAAGCCCCTCCCAAATAGGATAGGCCCAGAGCAAGGCCCCAAAGCCTGGCACAAGTCCAAAGCACCTTTCAGTGGGAACCCACAGAAAAGGATCAAACCACCAACAATTCTGGAAGGAAAAGAGCAAAACCAAAATCAAGGGAAAAGCTGCCACTGTCTCCTCCCCATGGGTCTCACCCACATCTGTGTCACCCAGTCCACAAACACAGTTTCCTCACATGTCTTTCCGCTCCTTGTGCCTCCTCCAGGTCTCCTTGGGGCTCCATCCTGCTTCCTTCCTTCTCTTCTCTTTAGCTCCACCCTCCATTGGGTGGGGCAGGGAACTTGGAACCTCCCCCTTTCCTGGGGACCACCCTGTTACAGTAAGATCTCAAAAGAAGCCCCAGCATCTGAGACATGAGAACCATGCGGGCAGATTTCCCTCCCCTTCTGTATTGCTGTGCCCTTTCTGGTGTGACACTAAGTTTCTTCTGCTCTGCAGTGTGCTTCCTGCATTTATAGGAATAATTGAATGCATAAATAACAAGGGAAAACCTCATTTTTATTAATGTATCAAGTACAGTGCAATTGTGTGAGCTTGGAATAAAGATGCCTTTTATTCAGGTGTATTGGATATCCCTCTTTATTGGGTGCTAGTGTTATGCATTTATTAGTTAAATCGAGTGAAGATTAGTCCAGATAAACAGATGCACTTCAGAGTCTTAACAAGCATTTTTTCCCCCTCATTAAATGAACAGAGATTTTCCCCCTTGTTTTTCTATTTTCTGAGAAGAATTACTAAAGGCCTGGTATTTATTTTTAATCAGTGGAATTCACAAATCATGTCTCATTCTGGCCGTTTTTGTGTTAAAGGGTACATATATGTGTATATATAATTATGTATGTATGTAACTAAATATATATAATTTACTTGTTTTAATTGTTTAAATAATTTTTGTGTCCGTTTTTGGCAATGTGTGTCTTCATAGGAGTTTGTCTAAGTTGTGTGCTTTGTAGATGCAAAGATACTCATAATAATTCTTTATCATCCCTTCAATTCCTACAATATTCACAGTAATGTCACCTTGAAACCAAGCAAAACCAAGGGGCTTCACAGGGACTCCAGACTCAAACGAGGAATAACCCATGTTGTCTATTCTAGGGGCTCTTGTTACCTGGTCCATAAAGGCAAAGCAACCCAAATGATGTGCTGAAATGGTTTTAATTGGTTTGCCAAAGTGCTGGAAGGCAAAAGAGAACAGCAGGTGTAGGAGGGATGTAGCAAAAAGCTTCCTAAGCAACAAAAGTAGCAATCTGAAGTAGGACCCCCCCCAAAAAAAAGGGAGTAGACCCCCCAGAAGCAGGACTGGCACCCCTCTTGCATTTTTTAATTAATATTTTATTTTATATAATTCTTACATCATTTTTCATTTTTGCACAATGTATGCATTTTCATTTTGGTTATATTCCCCATACAATTGCCCCCTCCCCTTATTTTGACCCTAGTTCTTCCTCTCCCCTTCCCTCTCCCCACCCCCCATAGTGTGTCTCTGGTTTAGAGTTGCTTGTTGATTTTGATTTTTGCTTTGTATTAATTAGTCTTTTTCCTGGTCCCTTGTTTAGGTTTTCTAAATTCCTGCTATGAGTGAGACCATCTGGTATTTTTCTTTTTCTTTCTGACTTATTTCGCTGAGCACAATCCCATCTAGCTCCATCCATGCTGCTGCAAACTGCATATATTTATCTTTTTTGATTGCTGAGTAATATTCCATTGTGTATATGTACCACATCTTGATCCAGTCTTCTATTGGCATTTGGTTTGTTTCCATAGCTTACCTGTTGTAAATAGTGCTGCTATAAACATAGGGGTGCAGGTGCCCTTTGGAATTAATGTTTCTGTGTCATTTGAGTAAATACCTTGGAGTAGAATTGTTGATCATATGGAAGCTCTATCTTTAGTAGGTCATGAAATCTCCACAAAGCTCCCCATAGTGATTGGACCAGTTTGCACTCCCACCAGCAATGCAGGAGAGCTTCTTTTTCTCCACAACCTCTCCGATATTTGTTGTTCCTGGTTTTTTTAATATGTGCCATTCTTACTGGTGTAAGATGGTATCTCATGGTAGTTTTGATTTGCATTTCCCTGATTACAAGTGATGTTGAACATTTTTTTCATATGCCTGTTGGCCATTTGCATTTCCTCTTTGGAGAAGTATCTTTTAGCTGTTCTACCCATTTTTTGACTTGATTATTTTCTTTGTTTTTGTTGAGTCTCATCAGCTCTTTGTAGATTTTTGTGATCAGTCCTTTATCATTAGTGTTGTCTCAAAAATGTTCTCCCAGTAGGTGGGGTTTCTCTTTGTTTTTGGTTATTGTCCCTTTTGCTGTGCAGAAGCTCTTTAATTTGATGTAGTCCCAGCTGTTTATCTTTGCCTTCACTATCACTGCTTTGGGCGATGTGTCTGTAAAGATGTCTTTGAGGAGCATGTCATGTAGAGTTTCACCTATATTTTCTTCTATGTATTTTTTGATTTCAAGTCTTATGTCTAGTTCTTTAATCCATTTTGCGTTGGTTTTTGTGCATGGTGTGAGGTAGTAGTCAAGCTTCATTCTTTTGCATGTAGCGACCCAGTTTTCCCAACACCAAGTATTGAACAAACTTTCTTTGCTCCAGTCCATATTCTTTGCTCCTCTGTCAAAGATTAGTTGACCATAAATCTGTGGGCTTATTTCTGGATTTTCTATTTGGTTCCATTGGTCCGTGTGTCTATTCTGGTTCCAATACCATGCAGTTTTGATGATTATGGCTTTGTAGTATAGATTGAAGTCTGGGAGTGTGATGCCTCCATTCCTTTTATTTTCACCCTCCAGCATTTTTAAAGTGTATGCCAAGGCCCAGTTTCTCTTCTGGGTTCTCTCCTGGTGGCACATGAGATGCAAGACTCTGAAGCTCTCCGAGGTTGCCTTGGAGGTTTTCCTTCAGAAAGTCACTGCAGTCTTTCTGAGACTATGTGTGTGTGGGAGGGGGTGGCTAGAGTTGGGGGTCAGGGTAGAGAAGGGCTGGGGGTGGTATCCCCATGTGGGGAGGGGGAAGGCTTGGCCACTTTGGTTCTTGAAAACTAAGGTGACCACACCTGAGAGAGAGATCCTGTATTGTGCAAAAATAAAGACATTTAAAGGATAATATGAGAAGGACAGAAGGAGGGAGAGAGAGAACTTGCATATTGAAATTCTCTGCAGTCCCCATAATTAAAAAAAAAAAATCACTAGAGTGCTGGGGCTCTCTTCTACCCTGTTTTATTTTTACAGTGGTGATTGCCTTTTTCCCTTTTTTCTTAGTTTATGTCTTGTCGATTTTATTGATATTTTTATAGAACAAACTTTTATATTTTGTTGATTTCTTTTATGTTTCATCATTTGTTTCTGATCTCTACATAATTATAGTGTGTTGTATGTGGTTAGCTTACTCTTCCTTTTCTAGTTTCTTAAAATGGGAATTTAGAAAACATGTTTTCTGGTTTAGTGTTTAATAATATAAATGAATTGCTTTAACTGTATTCCATATATTAGTATTGTTTCATTTTTAGTTTCATTCAGTCCAACTTATTTTCAACTGGTTTTGCAATTGTTTTTCCTGTTTACCCTTGGAATGTGTTTGTGTGCTTTTTTTTTTTTCCTTAAATTGCATTGATGTAACAACTTGGTGAAGTTACTGATGAGACATTCTAAGTTACTGGTTGCTGTTATTTTTCTAATGAAAATATTAATCTACAGTTTAGAGAAAAAATTGAGTAAAAATAGTCAATCAACTGCACATATGTGTGTGTAAAATTCAAGGGACTGGATGAAGTCACTTGTACAGAGTTTAATGTGAGGAGAGACAGGAAAAGCACCTACATTAATTGTGTCTGTGTGCACCTCATAAAAAGTCATGCAAACTTACTGAAGAATATTACAATTTTTCAAATTACCCTAAGCCTGGCATAATGCTTGAGAAATAGTAGCATGCACATTCCATTTCTGCTGAATACATGTAAGACCCATTAATTATTCAATCATCTCAGAGGGAGTCTGCATTTGGGGAATAAAATCATGGGTTTCTACTTTTCCTTACAAGTATGTCTCATCTCTAGATACATACTTGACTTCCACAAGAGTCAAAACTATTTCTACCTCTTGGGAAACCTGACAGCATCACATGAGTTCTGGAATGTTTGGCCTAGGTCTTGTCTTTGCATTTGTCTCTGACAATGGGACCAACTCTACCACACCTAATCAGGGGCCTGAGGAGATGTCATGAGGCCTTATAAATGGGGAGAGCCTATTACTTCTTGACTCATGATTTCTTTTAATTAATTGATTTATTTTTTCTTTTTCGCCTAGGATGTGACTGACATCATACAAAGGTATGTGTAGGAGCCAGTGATGGTCTTTTTGTGCTGTGGAGAGATGTTTAATGCTTTTTAGAGTCATCTGGTGTTCACTAACAATGAAGCATCATTGTGGGCAGGGAAATATGAGTATACGTTTGTCTTAAATTTCTGTTTATAAAAAACAGGTTGAGAATGGACCAGATACTACGGAAAGGAATGGGAATGGTAGGAAGCTGACAAGTTTGGGTCAGTAGTAGCTTTAAAGATAAAGCATTTGACAGATGGCCAATGGGCATATGAAAAAATGTTCAGCATCGGTAGTTACCAGGGAAATCCAAATCAAAACCGCAATGAGATACCACCTCACTCTAGTGTGACTGGCCCACACCAAAAAAAAAAAAAAAAAAAGGAACCAACAAATGCTGGACAGGATGTGGAGGTAAAGAATCACTCTTACACTGCTGGAAGATTGTAAACTGGTGCAGCCACTATGGAAAGCTGTGTGGAACTTCCTTAGAACACTAAAACCTTATCTTCCTCTTATCCAGGATCCCACTCCTAGGAATCTACCCAAAGAACACAAAAACACTAGTTTGAAAGGAAAACTGCGCTCCTATGTTTATTGCACACTATTTATCATAGCCAGGATATGGAAACAACCCAAATACCCCAAAATAGATGAATGGATCAAAAAGTTGTGGCTAGGGCCTCCCCTGGTGGTGCAGTGGTTGAGCGCTGGACTGCAAAGCTGCCCGCAACCTCTGCAGCACTGGCTTGATCCCCAACCACCAGGCGAGGGTCCCACTTGTCACACAGACCTCTCCTGACACGCCGGCTGCTCCCCTCAGCAGTGTATTTCGTCCGTCTGCTTGTTCTGCTCTCCACTCTGGTGAATTCTCTCACCATCCCACATCTCTGACTGTACCCAGTCCTTGTATAAATAAATAAATAAATCTTAAAAAAAAAGTTGTGGTATATACCATGGACTATTATTCAGTGATCAAAAATGACAAACTATTTCCATCAATATAGATGGAGCAGGAAAAGGATTATGCTAGCCAAAATCAGTCATCAGGAAAAAGATAAATACCAATGATCTCACTTGTATGTGGAATGTAAAGAAACCTGATGAAAGGTGGAGAAGAAGTCAAAACTAGCAAGCTGACCATAGATCTGAGGCATCCAGCAAATGAGGGGGAAGGTAGGGGGTCAAAACGGGAGTGAAGAGCAAAAGGGGATATGGTGATGGTTCACAAGTGATGCGGGGGTGGCAGAACCATGGGAACTACAATGATATAAGAAAAAAATAACTAAAAAAAAAAAATCAAGCCTTTTAGTTATCAGACCTCTGTGACCTCATAAATTTTATTCACTCTGTGTGCTTCTACCTAGGGTTCTTGCATATCACAGGTGCTTGACTTTCATAGAGGGAAGCCCTGATCTTTTTCTGCCAAGCACCCAGAATTAGCAACAATACCTTTATATCTAAATTTCATAGACTATATCGTGGGATTTTTGGGCCCTGCTGTAAGGAAGTGATTCATCTCCTCACAAGCTCTGGCCCCAGGTATCAGGAGGCAGCATCTTACTTCGAATTCATACCTACCTGGCAGCATCGACCTCTTTCTGAACACATAAAATCCAGACCACTGTTCAGCTGGAGATCATCATGTATTTTCCAAGTGTTTCCAATTATTCTCAGGGAGCCTGATTCTTCAATGTTATTCTGAGGGCCTCCCTAGTGGGGTGTAGAGTTTGAAATCTTGGTTGTCTCCAGGGAGTGTTCCCAAACTTGACGTATCTTAGACACCCAGGAGCCACTTTCTGGAGCCTTCCTTTCTGTTTTTCTCTCTGGATCCCAAATACATATGGTGACTTTTCCACACGTTATTTTTTTAAGGAAATTAAGTTTTATTTTGTCAAATCTATTATTACACATATTTTCATATGGTTTGTAGCAAGTAGAGGGAGACATATTAATGATTTAAGTTTGTAAGGAAGAAACTGCTCTTGAGAGGTCAAGATGTTCCCAGAGCCACACAGAGGTAGACATCAGCCCATTTTTTTCCTGACTCTGAGGTCAGCATTTGCTCTTTTTTTCTCTTACAGTTTCCAGGTAAGAGTTCAAGAGCATTCCTTGGAGTAAAGAGATAAGTCAGTAGTTTTGACAGGGCAACATGTTAGAGGTGTAGGGATCTATTTTTCTCATTCTAGGTGTTGGAATTTCACTCTGAAGAAGCCAAAAACTTTTCCCGAACAACCAAGTCGTGTGTTCCAAGCTCCGGATCTGAGAGCGATGCTGCGAGGGCTTACTCGTGAGTCTTGGTCACACGGGTGGGCAACTGTGGGGGTGTTGCAATGGCAGGGACCAAATGAGGAAGAAACGCAGCTTTTAGGTATGGACAGTGATGCTGGGGCACAGTAGACCATGGCTGAGGAAATGTCCTGTTGAGTGGGGATTGGCCAGGAGTCAGCACTACCCTTATTTACCAGTTTACTCCCTGCCATAGTTCCAGGAACTTCCCTTAATCTGGAAAGGAGATAGAGTTCAGTGCTGTGGCCTTCACTTAGATTTAACAGTTCAGATTTTTTTTTTTATCATTTCAGACCTGGCGTGTGTGCGATGCTTCTGGGGTAAGGATAAATCTTCGTGTCATCAAATTTCTCCATTCTATTTAATTCATCTTTCTGAATTTTTTGATTTCTAGTAAAGCTCATATTTTAAAACTACTGTTTCTCATTCTAATACACAGACTGAGTCTGCAGTGTTTTATTTCTCCCTAAAACCAAAATTCTTTCCATTTCCTGCTAAGCTATTCTCATGATTCTTCTCACAATGTCATGTATAAAGATACTTCATGTCCCTCACCCAAAACTTTAATTTTCCTCAGTTGATGTCACCTTGAATCAGACCAGCAATGGACATAGTGTTGCGATTTCTGCAAATAAGAGAGAAGTGAAATCTTTGTGGGACAATATTCAAGTTACAACATACCCGAATTACTATTATGGAAATTTTTCTCCTGTTCCAGTATATCCGAATTGCTATTATGTAGATTTTTCTGGTGTTACAAAATATCCAAATTACTATTATGGAGATTACTCTGTCCTGGGATCACCATTTTTCAAGAATGGGAAACATTACTGGGAGGTAGATGTATCCAAAAAAAGTTCCTGGATCCTGGGAGTGTGTGGGGAAAACCATTGTCAAAGAAATGTAAATAACCCCCCTAATAACCAAAATATTTATGCTGGATTACAGCCTAGATTTTGCATTTGGGCTATAGGGTTACAGAATCAATCAGAGTATCATGCTTTTGATGAGGAGATTCACTCCCAGGCACCCAAGATGTTGTCTCTTTCCATGAAGGTCCCTCCCAGTCGTGTTGGGGTTTTCCTTGACTATGAGGCAGGCACTGTTTCATTTTACAATGTCACACACCATGGGTCACCCGTCTATGAATACTCCAAGTGTGGCTTTCCTGAGAAAGTTTGTCCATATTTGAATCCTCTGAAATGTAAATTGCCCATGACTATTTGCAAACCAGGCCCTTGAGCCTTTTGAGCCCTCATGCACTTCCCTGGAGTGCCTTTTGCCTTGGGGTCATCTAAGGCACTGAGCTTATTTCCAACATTCTGCCACCTTCCTTGCTGCCTCCATTCTTTTTGCATTTTGACATCCTTTATTTATCAACAGGGTGTATCACTTGCCCTGTGTTAGATTTTTCCTAAATATCATGCATGTTAGACACTAATGATAAAGGACTGATCACAAAAATGTGCAAAGAGCTGATGAGACTCAACACAAATAAAGAAAATAATCCAGTCAAAAAATCGGCAGAAGAGCTAAAAAGAAACTTCTCTGAAGAGGAAATGCAAATGGCCAACAGGCATATGAAAAAATGTTCAACATCACTTGTAATCAAGGAAATGCAAATCAAAACTACCATGAGATACCATCTCACACCAGTGAGAATGGCACATATTAAAAAAACTAGCAACAACAAATGTTGGCAAGGGTGTGGAGAAAAAGGAACACTTCTGCACTGTTGGTGGGAGTGCAAACTGGTCCAACCACTATGGAGAGCTCTGTGGAGATTTCTGGACCAACTAAACATAGAGCTTTCATATGATCCAGCAATTCCACTCCTAGGTATTTACCCAAAGGACACAGAAACATCAATTCCAAAGAGCACCTGCACCCCTATGTTTATAGCAGCACTGTTTACAATAGCTAAGCTTTGGAAACAGCCCAAATGCCCAAAAATAGATGACTGGATCAAGAAGATGTGGTACATATATACCATGGAATATTACTCAGCATTCAAAAAAGATAAACACATGCAATTTGCAGCAACATGGATGGCGCTGGAAGGGATCATGCTCAGCGAAATAAGCCAGAAAGAAAAAGAAAAATACCGGATGGTCTCACCCATAGCTGGAATCTAGAAAACTTAAATAAGGGACCAGGAAAATGAATATCTATTAGAAAGTGAAAATCAAAATCAACAAAAAACTATGTACCAGAGACACTCTATGGGGTAGAGGGCGGGAGGGGAAGGATTGGGGTCAAAATAAGGGGGTTGCAATTGTATGGGGAATATAAAAATAAAATTTATAAAAAAAATAAAATCTCTATGACCTTCAAAAAAAAATATCATGCATGTTAGGAGAGGCTCTTAATTTATCAATTTCTATTCTCCCGAGGAAAAATGAGGCCTCTTGACCTCTGTCAAATATTTGGTACTGGGAGCCCTGCTACTCATGTTGTCCACAAAGGTCTGGCATGGGGCAGATTCCTGAAAAGTCAGGAATCTTGTTAGCTGACTCCTGCTAGTTTCTCCTCATTTGTTTATGGCTTGTTTCTACCATTGTTAAAATACACATTTAAAAGTAAAACTGCACATGCTGTTTGATCAGTTACTGAATAAACAATTTGATGGCACATGGCACTGTGTGATATAAATATTACATTTTTTATAAAATTAGTAATTCTCTGCCAAAAGGCAGCAATTCAACATTTGGCCGTTCATTAACAACTGAAAAAACTGGGAACAAAAGGTTGTAAATATCTCTCTGCCAAGTCTTTAATATGGAGATGTGGTCTTTTGTGGCAAGGGCTAAATGGAGAAGGAAATTCTCTTACTTTAAAGATAGGGCCTCCCCAGTGGCACAGCGGTTCAGTGCTGGCCAGTTCAGTGCTGGGTTGTGAAGGTGCCCGCTGCAGCCTCTGGGGCGCCAGGAGAGGGCCCCACATGGCGTGCAGACCTCTCCTGCTGCCAGCTGCTGCCCTCAGCAGTGTACTTCATCCGTCAGTCTGCTCTCTGCTCTGGCTCTGGTGAATTCTCTTACCCTTCCACGCTTCTGACTGTACCCAGTGCTTGTATGTGTAAATAATAAATAAATAAATCTTTAAAAAAAAAATAAAAATAGCAGTTGGGTGGCAGGCAGGAGCCATGCTCCAAGTGTAAGAAAATTCCTAATAAGCCAGGAGGCGCCATAGCGGGCTCCTGCTAAATTCTTCCTGTTTGTTTAGGGCTGATTCCCCTGGAGGTGACAATGGGTATGGTGGCTGTTAGAGTGTGCATTCAAGAATAAGTCAACAGCAATTTTGTGACTGGGTGAGCTAATAATCATGGCAGCACAAATAATGCACTCCGAAGTAGTCAATGTTACAACTACTGATATGTTAGGTATTAACCATTTTTGAGAACCAAAAGCTGTAACCATCTTTGGCCCTGACTCTGATAAAATATTTGTAGTTGTTTACAACTACAAACAACATTCAGCAATCTTACAGAAAAAGAAATTTTCCCTTGATCTTAAAGTTAGATATGAAAACTAGGCTGACTAGATAAGTAGAGGAGTAATAGGTAAAAAAACTCTTCAGTGAGATTAGGAAAATGCCTCCCTTACTTGAGAGCTTGGGTTTAGGGAAGGTAAAGATAGAAAATGTTAGTTGCAGTCACATAAGCTTTTTGCTAGTAATAAAATGACTGACTGTTTGTTTAAGGTAAATGACTATGCTAAGAACACTTATGTTTAGCAAAAGTGCCTCCTTCAAATCATATAATAATAAAGGTCACGACCTCTGCAGGAGGGCAAATAAACCCTTGGCTGTTCTTGAGAAAGATGTGATTGTTCTCTTCCTGCCTTAATGCATATGCTAACACACTCCCGCTTTGCTTAAAGTGTATAAATAAAGGGCCTCTGAGACCCTCAGCAGGATGATGCCTGCACCTGATCCTGTGTCAGCATCTCTTCATTCCTTCTCCCTCGCCCTCAACCCACAATTGTGCCAATGCCCTCCCATCCTTGAGGAACCCCTGACACCCAGGCTGCTGCGGAGGCTTACAGCAATTTGGGATCTCATTTTCTCTGCCACTGACTGAGAAAATGAAGGTGTTAAATAGAAAATGTCATAAATGATAGGTGCTAAAAGAGGAAGTTGTGTTCACAGCATTTAAATTAAAGTCCTGTCACTCCATATATCAGCAGTTTATCCTGGAATAACATACTTAAAAGCTGTGTTAATTTTCCTCATTTTTATTTTATACATTTTTATGTCATTTTTTCATTTTTGCACAATGTATGCAATTTCTTCTTGGTTATAGTCCCCATACAATTCCCACACCCCCTTGTTTTGATCGTACTTCCTCCTCTTCCCCCCCTCCCCAGTGTGTCTCTGGTTTATAGTTGCTTGTTGATTTCTTAAACTATTCTTGGTCCAAAAAACCGCAAGTGCCCCACATTGTGAGAAATGAAATTGCTACAGAGTGTGATCTTCGTAAAAAGGGAGGTTCTGTGTCCCCTGCCTCAGCTAATGAAGGGCAGAGCTAGTGGGGAGGAGCAGCTGAAGACATCTGTGGGGAGAGCCCCAGAGGGGAAATTCGGGGTGGCATGTGGAACAGAGACAAGTGAAGAAGGCCTGCTCCCTACTCAGCTTTGGACTTGCACCATGGACTTGGGGGGACATGGAAGAACCCCTAAATCTGAGACATGGAGAGAAACTTGACAGAGGTGGAGGTAGAGTCCAACAACGGCAGCCATTACCTTGATTTGTACTTTATTTTGCTATTTTTCTTCCAGACTTGCTTGCCACCTGATGCCTATTTTCTGTGGTTCCTTGCCAGAAGGTGCCTTAGTCTGGTGCCTAGCTTTGGGCTTCAGTGGCCAATTTGGGCCAATCCTGTTTGACTGGAAACTTACCTTGGAGGAGATGAATAAGTTCTGTTTTTGAATGGCAGTGTAGAAAGAATTGAAATTTACCCAAAGGAAGTGGGGAAAGTAGAAAAATGAAGGGTTTGTCAATGTTACTCAAAGAAAGAAGGTTCTGGAAAAGCATAATTTTCTTTTTTGAAAGGTTTATTTTATTATTTATGCATACAAGACCTGGGGTGTAGGCCAGAGGTGCGTGGGATGAGAAGATTCACCAGAGATAGAGTGGGGAGCACAACAGGTGTATTTACTGAAATATAGTGCTGAGGGGAATAGCAGGTGAGACAGGAGAGGTCTGCTGCACCATGTGGGTCACCTCCCTGGCCAGGGATTGACCCCGTCCTGCAGTGGCTGCCAGTAGCTTCATAGAAGCACCATTTATTAACCTCCGTATTCTGTTACCTGTCATGTAATCTGGCTTTGGCACACTGTGACAACATTTTTTCTGAAACTCTTCCTTTTCTGTCTCCCTGAATTTGGAACAGAAACTGATAATTAATGATGTACCATTTGATGTTGTGGAAAATTTTTTCTCAGTAGGCTCACACTGAGGAACATTTTTTAAATGGCATTTTACCTTTCACAATGGCAGTTTGTAGGGCACGAAAAGATTTGGCAGTGAGGCCAGAGGCTTATTGTCTGAATTTTCTAGGTGGGCTTCCTGGTGGGCTTTTGCATTCCAGCCTCCTACATAGACCTTTCATACCAGCCTTTTGTGGATAGGAAAAGGGGCTACAGTTCTTTCTTTGGCTACTTCCTGCTGAAAGGGGGCGAAGACCAAGGGGGTGGGTCAGGCCTGGTTATGAGGGTCTTCTGCAGGGATGCGAGAATGTGGGTGGAGAAGGAGTTGGTTAAAGGTGGTTGGAGACACTTCCTGAATGTGAGCCGGTATGAATTTTAGGAGGCAAGGAGAAAAAAGAAAAAATAAGACTCTCATTTGCACTGGCCCCAAGAGTGGAAGGAGCCAAGACACTATAGGATTTTGAAACCATGTTAGCGGAGCCTGCTGGTTTTGGAGAGTGATCTGAGCCAGTGAGGTAAACTGTGTTTACAAGGATGCTAAAAACAGAGTTTTTTTCTAAGGAGCTATCTATTCATTCATAAAAATCCTGGGCAGAAATAAGGCTGTGTCCCAGGGCCCCACCTGCCACGCCTGCAGCTTCAAGAGATGATGTTAGGCTAATGCCCACCATAATCAGGAGGAGAGCCCTTTGTTTAGTTTGGTGTGGTGAGACCAACCACCCCAGTTTGGATTGTCCCTATAGGGTGAGTTGTGGGACCACCAACACTTGGACACAAGAGTCTGGGGTAGAAGAATTGATACACTGAGAGAGAGCGCCATTGCCCCAGAAAAAGGATCCCCTTGTGTTTTGGAGCACAGGAGTAACCAAAATGTTAGAAGTGCAGGAGTGAAGCCGACAAGGGTGTCAGTTGGATAGCAGGGGTAGCTGTGATTGGAGTCCCAGAGGGGGACTGAGCATTGGGGAGTCAGACAAGCAGAGTCTGTTATCTTGGTCGCTGTGGTATTGAGATTCATCGGAACTGCCGCCAGTAGAGGCTTCTGAAGGGACGTGCAGAAGAAACAGAGGGGGTATTAGTCCCCAAAGAATCATTTCCATACAGAGGACACGGGGCTAAGAGAGATTTTGACAAGAAATGCGCATCCTAGTAGGACCCAGGTTACAACATACATACTGTTTGTCTTCGGGGTCACGTTTGACCCGTGAGAGATGGTGCCAGGAGGGGTCCCCAGAAGTGTTACCACTGTGGGCATGGTGAGAATGACCGTGTGCGGACCGGTTCATTGAGGCTGCAGTGGCTTTGGTTCAAGCGATTTGAGCAGGACTTGGTCTCCTGGAGGCAGTGGTGGGGAAGGTCAGTTGAGAAGGTCGAGATCCAAGGCAGGACTAGGTAAGTACCGGTCTGCGTATTCCCGGAGCAGTTGCCTGAGTAGGGAGAGGTCAATCTGTTATAGAGCAGCCCCGATTTTGAACGGGTTCCTGGCTGTGGGTCCTCACCCACGCTCTTAAAGGGGACTTATTAATACTCCACTACAGGCACAC